ATATATATATATATATATAATAAATACTTTACATACAATATATAGCTAGGGGATTATAATATTACAATATAAAATATATTCATCACTTTTACCATCAGCCCATACATAAAAGACAAATTGAAATAATTAGAAGTAATTTTTTTACGTCTCTCTTAAATCGAAAAAATATTGTAATTGAAAGTACTATCACTTATATTCATGAATACTGATAAATGCTAGTTTATAATCTAGCATATTGGTTTATAAGTATATTAAATAGAGAACTTAATGCCGCCTCATTAGCCACGAATATTACGGGTGCGAAAAATATAAGTTTTACAGCTACATATATCTTTAAGAAGAAATTATTATAGACAGAAAAGTTTCGAGCGACGTAACTCAAACAGCCATTTTCATGTAGAGTTTGGCATATGGTTTATAATCTATCAATTCGAAATCCTTAGCAACAAAGTCATCGATATCTTTCACTTCTCTAACTATTCTTAATCTCGGAAATTCGCGCGGTTCGCGTTTTATCTGTTCCTCGAGGGCGCTTATATGATCGACATAGACGTGACAGTCTCCCATTGTATGTACAAATTCTCCTGGCTGAAAATAAAAAGAAATAGAAAGTAAAACAAGACTTATTTGTGAAATGTATGAATGCGAAGTGAGTGTCGATCCTCACTTTTAATCCAGCGACATGAGCAATCATGTAAGTCAACAGGGAATACGATGCTATGTTAAATGGCACTCCCAAACCCATATCTGCACTTCTTTGGTAAAGTTGCGCAGATAATTCCCCGTTGTTTACATAAAATTGTACAAAAACATGACATGGTGGCAATGCCATCTTTGGAATGTCAGACGGATTCCAAGCAGACATTATAATACGTCTGTCGTCCGGAGAGTGCTTCACTTTGTGAATGACTTCCTTCAACTGATCTATTCCTAGAATAAGTACAGAGTCTTAACTTTAATTTTCTAATGAATATATTGTCATTTGTAGATTTTAAAAAGAGGATTGAGACTTGTTTAATATAATATTTTCATCTGCACTACCTTGTCCCGTGTAATCTGTGTGCATATCTTTATATTCAGCACCAAAGTGCCGCCATTGAAAGCCATAAACAGGCCCCAAATCACCTTCCTCTCTATCAGTGAAGCCGCAAGAATCCAAAAAAGCTCGTGAACTATTTTCATCCCAGATATGAACACCCTTATCTGTTAAGTGTTTGGCATTTGTTGATCCTTTGATAAACCACAAAAGCTCCTCAACCACTGCTCGCCAGAATACCCGTTTAGTTGTCAGCAATGGAAAAATGCCTATATCCAATAAGTAAAATTAGCTAATGATATTGCTAACAGTTTGTCAACAAAATACTGCTGCAGATTAGTGTGCCTAAGCTTATGTTAATAACTTTTACAATCTGCACTATTAGATTCTGTTATATTCTCATTAATTGATAAAATTTATAGCAGAAATTTTGCAGAATGTTTTTCATTGATTTGGTTAGCTGAATAAAAATAAATGAAAAACCTATAAATTTCTTTATAAAGAATTATATAAATTAGAAAGACAAGTTTCAGAAAAAATCTGCAAATGCACTGTCATGTCCAGGAATAATAGATTACTTTGCATTATCAAACACAGACTATTTGAAAGTATAATGAAACATTTACCGTCTCGTAAACTAAATCTCATCTGCGCGCCGAAAATAGAATAAGTATCGACGCCAGTACGATTGCTCTTTTTCGTTCTAGTCTTAATGATTTTCTCGATTAGCCGCAAATACTGATATTCCTCATGTTTCTCGTTCATGTTCATTTTCTCTCCGTCCATTTTTTGCTCGTCCTGCATTATTTCTTGCGATTTCACCTCGATGCCGTTAATCGACATTTCTTATCGTGTATATTGTAAGATATTTGTTATTTCCGATTTTAAAATTTAAATAAAGTTAACGGTTTGTCAGGAACTGGTGTCCGTTTAATTTAAATGATGCCCATTGGCTTGAAGCGCGCACAAAGTGGAGTCGTCCGCCACGTGGTGGAATGGAATAGGAAAAGGGCGGGCACAATAACTTGCAGATAATTTAATAGAAAACACTGTATTTAACCGACAGTCTCCGCTCGAAATACAAACGATAGCGTTCCGATTTACAATAACGACTTAGTTCGACTACGACTATTTGACTAGACTCTCATAATACGTCCGTTTCAACCGCCGACTGGGGAGAGTGCCGATCGCCCGCTGCTCCGAACAACTGGAGCACGTTTGATAATTTCAAATCAGTGATTGATCGAATCGAAGTATCGAAAGACAGCGCTGAGATCGATCGAGAGCCATTCTCATCGATCATCGAACAGCACTCTTGGCGCCATCCACCGGTCGCCTTAGTAACTTCTTACAATATCGTATTACAAAAATACGACTCAGGATAGAAGGAACACAATAAAACGAAAGTTGTTGATCCAGACAATGCGAGGAAAGACATTACAAATTTTAGACTGCCATTTTTAGGACTGGGATTTGAATTTAAAATCATTTTTTTAAATATAGAGTGACGAGTTTTTTAATTTATCAATTGATTAATCGCATAATGCACAAATGCAGCTTTTATAGAGCAAGTTGTATTTGCGCATAATATGATTTGTTAATTAATGAATTAAAAAGCTCGTCTATATTTCGGACCGAATTTAATAATAATTTTATAAGCATCAGAACGCGGGAAAACACAGGTAACACGTGGCGACTCGACGTAACGTGATATATAACGTGGCGCAAAACTCGAAATAATCAAAACGTTAAAACACACGCGACAATCAGTTTCCTTTGACAAAGTCCTTTTTTTAGGGTTTCTTTTTTTTTCGAACTGCAAAGATCGATGGAAACACAGCCTTTATTTCCAAGATATATAGTGTAATCATAAAATAAATTTAAATTATTGGTATACAGAGTGCGATATATACCTTTCGCGTGTGTACATATAAAGCGAGAAGGAATAGATAGGTAGATTTCGAGCGCTGATAGTTGGACGGCTCGTTAATCTCTGTGTGGCCTTTGTTCCGATACATTGACAAAAAAAAATAAGATACATCTGTCGGACGTGTAGTAAAATGCGCGTGACGCGTTGGTCGTTCGAGGTATGTACAAATATCGTGTCGGGATCGTGTTCCTCTCTACATAAATGTATACATATAAACGTGTTATTTACATCGTATTTGGTACTATATCATTTGGTAACATAAAGTGCACGAGTGTCTTTTCGCAAAGTAAGAACGTAGCAAGCGAGTATACGTTCCACATAAAATTCACCGCTTGTCGTATCAAATTCCTTAATATAAATCGCGTCGCACAGAATACCCCGAGACTACCGAATACCGTCTTTCTTCTTTTTTCTAGAAATTACTTAGCATTATTGACTCGAAATACTTCGGTGTTAATAAATGGATGAGATCAACCGAACGACAATTTCGATTGATTTCGAACGAGTATAGAATTTTAATTCAGTCTCAGATTTTACAAGAATCTAGAATTTTTTTGTTGAGAAATCATCTTCGAATCGATCATGATTCACAAGCGACATTCAGTGGTCTCGGGACATCACGTACATATTCCAACGCAATATGCACATATGTGATGTAGTGATGATGATGATGATTTGTACAATTGTACGCTGGAAAACGCCGTTGCAAAACTATATGAATTTTTTTCTCCTTTTAAGAATTAATACTAAGGAACAATTTTCGTTAAAGTACACCAGTCTCGCAACAGATTCGATCGAGTACTGTTCCCATGCAAATGGATACAGATATTAGCTACGTATTAATGGCATTACTACTATCCAGCGAGTTTGCGATCGCCTCCTCAGATTCCCCGATGGATGGATTATTGTTTAGTCCAGCCTCGGCTGTGTTATAGCCTGAAAACGAGCAGGCAGGTGCGCTTCTGGCTTGGTTCACTATCGTGGCCTCAGGCAGAAGTGACGTACGCTCTGTCGCGCTTCCCCAAGCCTGCTGATATGCACCGCGTCCACGTATTCTGCGACTCAAGGATGATCCAACAACGCCCAAGTGCTCCTTTATGTCATTATGCACATCGGAAACATCCCACATTGCTCTGAAAATAATTATGTGCACATTTTGTGAAAATAATTATGTAAGCACAGATATAAATTAATGAAATTGAAAAAGATGCTTTACTCTTCAACTTAAAAGTGATTTATTTATTTTACGATATATATTTATTTTACGTACCTAAATGCGTCCCACCACGCTTGACCCTGCGCCAAATTGACAAATGGTTTGTAGGAGAAGCTATAATGATGAGCTACCGCCGCTAAAAACATTTCTATACAAATTAGGAAATCCTGCAATTTGGACGATATATTCCTGATGTCATCTGAATCATCCGTATCAAAAATACTCGATATGACGTCAAAATATACCAGAAGAGCTATTATCACTCCTTGACTGTAATCCAAGAACATAATATATTAAAAATCTAATATATTAAAAATCTTCTAAATACATTTTTTCTCCTGGCTTTGCAGTGATACTTACAAGAACGAGAAAAACACTACCGCTTTGATGCATAAAAATTTTCCGATTGGCTTCATTGGCTTCAAGGCCTCTACATTGGCACGGTAAAAGAGTACCAAACAGTACATGGCAACAAATTGCGACAAATTGTTTAGAGCAATCATGTATGGAAAAGCGACGTCACCTTTAAATTCACCTTCCCCATAAACTCCATTCAGTTCGCATATACTATAAAAGTATAGAAATATATATTTAAATGTCGTAATGAATGGAATATTCATTACAGATATTTTTGCCAATAAATTTCTCACAATGATACTAAAGTTGATATAGGCCTGACAGCTGTGTATTGTAAAATTCCATGCTTGCACATATGTACAAATTCTCTGCCCATTTCCCAGTCAGGCAGACAACACAGAGGGAACATGTGGTGCACTTGAGGAGAGATCTCCAGTCTGTGCTCCAGTTGGTGGTCAGCATCCAGATAGGCCAGTAGATACATCATGAAATTATATATCACATAAGCCTCGTAACATTCTCTCAAGCTGTCCACATATATGCTGCCTTCAGGATACACCAGACCTAACCACTAGGCAGATGGAAAATGTTCATTAAACAACTGAATAAATATTTGCACACTTTTGGCGATACATAAGAAGGACTTGTAATTTTTTCTTACAGCATTCACTGCATAGATGGGTACCATCCATAATATTCTGAAAAATAAAATAATTTTTATATTTAATATTACATAAAAAGCAAGATTAAATTATATCGAGATTAAATTTAATATAAATTTTCTTAGCAAGGAATAGCCTACCTTATTATATATTTTTGTAATCTAGGCTGTGTGTAATATATCATATGCTGGACAATTTCATAGAAGGCAATGGGCAACGCCAGTAGAACAAAAGCGCCACCCACCAGTGCACCCTGATCCTGCTTCTTGAAGCCATGCTTGATGGAATTGACTAGCAAGATTGGTACGAGTACAATAATAAGCAATGCGTACAAGCAGGTCAATACAGGTAATATCCATAATCTCCATCGCCGGCAGATTGAAGCCATCACTCCACTTGAATGCTTCAGACACCGTCACATCATAATTTTGGAATGCAACCAGACCTGGTTCTGAAAATGCGAACAATCACTAAAGACTGGACTTTGTACTAATAGTAGAAATCATAGATTAAAATCAAAGTCCTCTCTACTGTATATTCTCGACAAATTATAAAAATGATTGTAAGCAAAGCAGTATGCTAACAAAAAACGAATAGAATCTGCTTTCGTAATCCTTTAAGAATTATAATGGATTTTAAATTGCATTTAAATAGATACTTTAAATAACATGACACGGTTTTTTAATTTTTGTAATCAATCTATCATATTCTGTCTACAAATTCTGTTACATTTCCATTGACATTCTGTTAAAGTTCGTAATAAACACTGCAAGATCTGATTTTGACACTCGGCTACCAGGAAAGAAAGTGTAGTATAAATTGCATTAGGCCAGAAAGCGAAGATTTCCTGTTACAAAATCACGTATCGTTTCTCTACAACTACAATGTTTACTTGTCGAAAAAAATATGCTAAACCTCTTCAACGTTTCTCCTTTCACGTTCGTTTATCACGTTTCTTGTCCGTAACCCCGTAGTGCGTAAAGCTCAACAAAAATCTCTGCGCACTACCGCGATGGACGAAAGAGAGAGAGAGACGACAAGAGAGAAAAGAGAAGGGAAAAAAGAATGAGGTAAGACGCCTCGTGCGACCTCGGCGGGGGAAATGAATCAGCTGAGTGACAGCGTAGGTGTATGGGCTTTCTCTTAACCCTTCAGTCCGCGTCGTCCCGAGTATGACGCGCATAGCGGATTCGCTTACTATTTCGCAACGACGGCGACGACGAGGACGACGAATCGGCGTCCCGTCGGCGCCCGAGTGCCGTAAACGTCACCGGTCGAGGTGCCTCGCCGGCTCGAACGCGGCCGCGTCGAAACGCCAAGGAGCCACACACACGCACGTCGTCAGCACGGGTATGCTAATTTGACATTTTGCGACATTTTGCACGGCCATTGGAAAACCGGAAGGTCGCTCTCCCTTCTTTCCCTTGCTCCTCCCACTCTCCCCATCGTTTTCGGCGGAGCGGGTGCAGGGAAAGGGGGAGAAAATCATCACCTACGATCAGGGTCGCCAAAGTGCGAGTGAGAAATACCCCGGAAAGTTGCGCGCATCATCGCGTTGCCTCCACGGCGAATAGAAAGATTCAGGGTGAGAACAAAGGGGGACGAAGAGAACTTGTTCTCTGTGAGAGAGTGCTGGTAAATCTTGTCGGATTATCAGGTAAAATCGTGTCGTTCAAACGACGAGTTCGGAATGTACCGTCGTCGTCGTCGTCGTCGTCGTCGTCGTCGTCGTGCGCACGTTGGTCCACCCTGTGCGGGCGGTGTGGGAGGGGTACTTCCGGTCTAATGGCGTCAGGAGCCAAGCACTGTTGTCACATTTTGCTCTACAGTGTTTCAATATTTCGCTTTGTTTATGTCGCTCGTGGCCCACGGGGCGAAGACGAGGAACCCGGCCGGGCGCGCAGATTACGCTAAGTGGAGGTGAGAGCATCCGTAATTTCCTATGCGCGACGCATATTAAGGCGTGGACCAAGATTTTCCTGAATCTGATCCGGGTGCAGTGACCTTGGTCTCTCCTGTCAGCCCTCAAGTGTGGCACCCGCGGCAAATTCAAACTACGTCGGCGCATGCACTATATCATGACATTCAATCGTGCAAAAAATCTTCGTGTCATGTATTTTTCTTTTCTTCATTCAGAATGTAAAGGCTAAAAGACATTATCTCGTTACTGGCAGAACTCGTCGGTGTTGATAAGAAAAGATATCGTTTAATCTCGCCGATGCATTGTCTCGTTAATCATAGTGATCTTCGTACCAACGAGCACTTCTGATGAAAGAATGAGACATGTATTAGATTTGAAAAGTCGAATGTATCGAGAGTACACTTTCTTGTGGATTAAAATAAAAGTTACTATTACCACATAAGAAATGATAAGTCGTCATGCAACAACAAAAATTTATCGCTAATTGAATTTTATATATGTTACAATTAATTCCATTTTAGCTTTTAGCCATTTTTAATTATAGTTTTCAAGAAAATTAATTCTGTCAATTTTGCTTTGTTTAAGATCCAAGAATTTGATGTCTATAGATCGGTAGAAGCTTGGAAGATAGATAGTAGACATTGTATCCAGAATACTCAACTATGGAAGTTACAACAGAGGAGGCACAAGCTGTGCTTCTAGAAGGAATAGAGAATGCACAGTACATCACTATTCAGAGAGCTGATGGGGAATCTCTGGGCAAGGGAGTACCATTGCTGACTTTGAATGGTGAATTGATCCCAGATGGCATGGTCGTGGACATGATGTCCAGTGTCGGCACGGATTATGGCACGGGTACACAATATTACGAGGCGGATGACTTGTTGCCACACGAATTAACAGAGGTTGTAATATGCGACTTAACACTTGTGCAACTGTATATTTATTACCTTGCGCATAGAATGTAAATTGTGTGATACAGGATGACCGTAGACTCGCCGCGGCCCTGGTCGCGGTGCAGCTGCAGCATCAACAGCAGCAGAAGCAGCAACTCCACATTCAGTCTCAACATGAGGACCCGACTCTGCCAGATGTTTCTCATCTTGAGACCTTAGCACCAGTGAATTCGTATTCCATACAAGCAGTACCAGAACCGAATGCCGCTCCATCTGTGTATCCATCTCTACAACCCTTCAAGAGAATTCCGCAGAATGTGAAGCAGGAGTTTATCAATGTTAAAAGTGAATATGATGTTGAGGTTTCCACGGAGAGTAGCGAGGATGCCACATCAGCATCTGGACCCAAGAGAACTCTTCCACACAAGAAAAGGATACCACGCAAACTAAAGCAACAACAGACAAAAAGGAATACAACGCGGAAAGATAGCAGCAAATTGAATCAGGAGAATGCAGCAGCTGAATCGACTAGCGAAATTCAGGCTAATATTTTCAAGTGCGAGTTGTGTAGTTCTCAATTTTACAGTCAGTTGAAATTTTTTGAGCACCTAAAGGTATAGCAATCATGTTACAGTCAGCAACAATTAGACTTTTTTAATGCATATGTATTTAAAAAAAAATTGATTTACAGAAACATTATGAACCGGTGAAACAAGAGACGCGAACAGCTCAAGCAACAAATACTAACATTTCGATATCAGCGCCAGAAACAGTACAGGCTCTAGAAAATACCGTAATCGAAGAATTTAGTGAACCTGAGGACTTAATGGAGGGTATTCGAGGCGTAGGTAGGAGAGGATATCTTAAAATTAAACTTTCTAAAATTTTACAATATAAACAATTGTGATTGATTTCTTTTATTCATAGTGGAAGAAACTGGTGCGCATATCGACGATGATACAGACTCTCCTCTACCCAACACAAACACCGGCTCGAATTTGTGGATCGACGTCACAGAACAGGTACAACAAAGGGACCAACAAATAAGACCACCAGTTGTTAATGAAAATAAAAGCCCTGACGAGAAAGCAAAGACTGACATTCCACAGACAGCCAAGAAAAAGAAAACGTCGAAAAACACGAAAGTCAAGTTCGTATAAGTCAAGTTCATGTTTTTCCAGAATCTTTAACTAAAGATGGAAAGATTAAAAAAAATGATATTCTCTTTCAGCTGACGAATTAACATGTCCTCTGTGCAATCGTTCATTCCACCACAAAAATAGCTTAGTTTATCATATGCGATCTCACAGTGGAGAGCGGCCGCATCAGTGCGATATCTGCAGTAAACGGTTCTTCGCTGCCAGCGCATTGAAGGTAAATATCAATGCGATTTTCGCAGAGGATATAAGTTTGTTTTGTTAATATATTACATAATGTAATTTTTTATTTTGTTGTGAATAACAGGTACACAAAAGACTTCACAGCGGTGATAAGCCATACAAATGCGAACAATGTGGACGACATTTTCGGCAATGGGGCGACTTAAAATACCATTCGACGAGTATTCATTCAGAGCACAAGCAGTATCAGTGTGAATATTGCGCCAAGGAGTTTGCTCGGAAATACTCATTGATAGTTCATAGGCGTATTCATACTGGTGAAAAGAACTATCGCTGTGAGTACTGCAACAAAACGTTTCGCGCAAGCAGCTATTTGCAGAATCATCGTCGTATACATACCGGCGAGAAGCCGCATGCGTGCTCAGTGTGCGGCAAACCGTTCCGAGTGCGAAGTGATATGAAGAGACATATGCATACGCACTCCCGAGCGAAGACGAATGACAAACAGTCACTGAACAGAATCTTGACGGGAAAGAACGCGGAGGAAGTGATGGAAGGCGACGACAAAAGAGCGCAAGCAAAAACGATTCAGGATCTCGTGAGGGATTTGAAATTGGAAGCCGAAGCAACGGGAGTCGTAGAGATTGTTCCGCCGGATGATAATCCGGAAAGCATTTTGCCACACGCAGGTGCACAAAATCTAGAATATACCGTAACGTCTGCGGCAGACACAGTAAATGCGGATCGTGATCCTCTAGAAGCCGTAGTGCGAACGACTGATAATATGTAAGTAGCATAAATATAAATTGGATATTATTTTTTTAATAGCGAAAATTTTTTAATGGCGAGGAATCTTTTGTAATTTGTTGTATTTTTACAGGCAACCGTATTTTTTTATGTAATCTTGGAAGTCTCAAGAAAAGGAAGTCGAAAAGAAAATATATTTCGCTGTACAACAAGATTGATCATTGGAATACCAACACTCAGATGGTTTGTAATACAAAGAAACAAAATTGGGGCTTTTAAGAAAAGCATATATATTCAAAGCGATTGTAATGTCATCTTGGAATGAAAGTTTCGTGCATGAGTTCGTAGGTGAGACTTAAAGAGGTTGTTTATTCAAAAATAAACAGCCAGAAACAAATCTCTGATGTCAATCTCAAATCAAGTAAATTGCATAAATTGTTAATACACTGCCTATGAATAATGCGTAATAATGTTTAGTAATGTTTTGCATATTTTTAAGAGAGAGTAAATGAATCATGATTTCCAAAATTTAATAGAGGATTAGACTGTTTTGCAAATAAAAGCCCCAAGAAAAAAGAAAAAAGAAAAAAAAGGTAAAAAAATATGTGTATGTACATATTGATATACATATATACATTTATATATATAATATACATGTATATATACATATATATGTATATATACACGCAATTATACTGTAATTAATACTAATCACAACTGTACATTTTTAAGTTTAGGATTGTACAATTGTATAATGTACAATTTTGCAAAATATATATATATATATATATATATATATATATATATATTGCGGATTGTCGTTAAAAATATATTTTTACTTGAATGTGTTTATAGAAATATATTGGTCCACTTCATTTCACTCTCCGAACATTTAAATTGCTGCGGGTATCAGAGTCGGCATGCTTGTGTCGGTTTTACCGATGAAAACTTGCAGGATAGTAGCTAAATCTCTGGATTCAAGGGCTTCTTTTAACTTTGCTGTAGCTTCCTTGCCACTGATCCTGTTACACAAACAGCATTATTAGAATTAAGTCACGATAAAAATTCTATCTTTACCTTCGAGATCGCTTTGCTCGTTCCCAATCTACATATAAGTCGGTAATGATAGCGTGCAATCTATTTAGGATTTCGGTGTCTTTTGCCATAAGTGATCTGATCTCCGTTTCTTTCTCCAACAACTCTTGATATTCGGAACATAAATTCTCTTTCGGATTGGATTCGAGTTCCAACTCTTCAAGAGCGTCCAGAATTTTTATCTTTTGAATTAACTCGGAGGCTGCGTTCAATCGTGGAAGAATCAATTCCAAAACTCTAGATATACTTCCTTCCGCTACTTCTGTGGAATATATAATTTATGTTTATTATTGTTTTGTGGTTTCGAAAAAAAACATAAAAATGATCAATAATTACCGCAAAATACATCTAACTTTATCTTTCGTTTCGTCGCTTCTTTCGTTAAAATGTCTCTGAGAATTATGATGCTGGATATGTTCTCGCCAAGAAAAAGTGCGCTGCCTTTCCTACGATTTATTAAAAATTTAATGACGAATGTGTAGATTTAGCTTTATATTATAATCTTACTTGTATTTGCATTTGAGAACCGTCCCAATGAAGGATGAGATGTACACTAAAACAGCTTCGCCCTCGCGAATATGAGGTCTCTCGGGCACGTCTGGTAATGCTAAAGAAAGCCACGCATGCATCTGAAAAGAAAATCCAAGAAGAAACATATCCCATTGATTCTATTGCGAGAAAGCGTTTCTTGCAATGGAATAAAGAAGCATACCTCAGCGATCGTGAAGTTGCCATTCAATTTCAATTCATTAAACGGACCACTAGACTGCATGGCATCATTATCTTCGTGCTGCCTGACGTGTAGAGACAAGGCGTAAATAGGAACCAAGATTTTACGACAGCGTTTCGGTTGTACCTGAGAATTATTATGGAAATTAACAACATGAGCTTATCCGAAATTCGGGAAGTAAGACGACGTAAAATACCTGGGATGTTACGTAGATCTGTAAGGTACCCGGCTGACCTTCGATGGATCTCAGTCGCATTTCTAGACGATTCGTATTGATCTGTTTACGAATGATTAAGAGATCTTCTAGATGTATCATTAAAATTCAAAAATATTATATTATTTCAGGGAATCCTGCATATTTACTTGACATCGATAAGTAGCAAGGACGAAATTGCCCTCTCTAGGATCGCAAGCAGATAGGCTGACTACCGCGCTATTGTTTTCTGTCTCCAACAGATCGATAGGCGTATCCGATTGTATTAAGATATTGTCGATCGACGCGTCCAACTCTACGGACAAGGAATATGAAGCGTCTTCTTTATGCAACATCATCCTGCGATTTTAATTATAATTTTAATCAGGCTTGATCAGGACCTATAATATAGAAATAATTTTGCCATAGTTACTTGTGATTCACTGATAGAATCGAAGATGCTAAGGGATCCGGCATGAAATTAGCTGATTCCTTTTCCTCATTGATCTTTTCCTGCAGTTGTTGTATTTCCAGCTTCAATCTGGCCAATCCGATGTCACTCTGTCCAGCTTCTAATAAACCAGGAGGACTAGTAGTCAGGCCGAATATTCGGCCTGAGTAAGTCGTAACGAGGACCTCGGGATAATTGGCGACGCCGATTATCCCGCCCACGACTGTACTGATACTTTCGCCGGCATTCTGCAAAGATTTATCTCTATGTTAATACAATTTAATTCGAAAATATTTGGATAAGATAATGATCACTCACGTAGTGATAACGCAGGGTGGATGATACGTCCTCATCGGGGAATGTATACACCTCGACGACTCCGTCTTGTCGACCAACGAGAATGTCTATGCCGTCTTGTAACTCATGAGTATCCAACGACGTGATCCCTGAACCAGTCGAAGTTAGCAGCCAAGTGATTCGAAGAGTTTTGTTACCTTGGAGGATCAGCAGTCCGACTTTACCGTCCACGGTGCCGACTAACACGCGGTCTCTCGAATATATCTCTCCTTCCCTGAGGCGAGGCCAATGATATAAAATAATATAATTTACTTGAAACACTACGCGGTGAGAATGCAGATCAATGATACCTATATACAGAAAGCACCATAGGTGTGCTCGGCAATCTCAAGACTGTCGGACTTCTTGTGCCATACAAAACGCGTACCTGAAGAACATAGAAGAACCACATTCCATACGTGAATACATTTATATGTTTTTTTCACTGAAGAGAGAGAGGTGAAGATATCAATGGCAATTTTCAAATATAGAAGCAGAAATCGGGTAATCGATTACTGTTTTGTTAAAAGTAAATTAATTAATTAGTATTATCGTGTTTCTAACTTTTAAAATAATGCTTTTAGAATCCTTGAGTCACGTTTAATATGAAATTGAGGCGAGACCTTACCGCGCAATCCGCACAGGCGAGAATAGCGTACACCACGTTGCCATCCCCGGGCAAGAGCACGACGTCGTGCAACGTTTCCCCGGCCAGATATGAATCAGCATCTTTGCAGTCTCTGTATCTGTGATAAAGATCGCGTGCGCATGCCGCGAGATCGGGACCGAGGACATACCTACGTGAGACATTTCATGATAATAAAAAAAGCGCGATAATAAGGAATTGTGAAATACGTGAAGTCGAAGATATCACATTGTGCAGCTGAATGTGAGCTTACATCGCGGAAATCGGATCTATAAGGCTGGTATCGAACTCTAAGAACAGTTTGCCCTTTCTTGTGTATCCCTTCACGGAGCTGCCGTATGCAATGAAGATCTTATCCCTCAACATACCTATCGAGCCACCAAGGACCATTTTGTGAATCTTTGGGCCGGGCAAGGATTTAAACGACAATTGCAGCTCTCCTTTTTTCATACCTGTTGCAAAAAAGAAATATTTCGTATATTTTTCAGGCGCTTTCGAGAATTCATCTTAAGCGAAATATCTTGAAAATAATTGCGTCAAAGAACCTTTTACTAAGAGCGATATCATCGTTAAAATCTGCAAATTAATTTTTAACTATCAAAGTTGAAAAAGTTAAGTTTAAATTTTTAAGTATGTTAAATTAAAATTGTTTACAAAATTAATTCAGTCCCATTAAAAGTTGCACGTGAGAAAAGAAACTTAGTTAAAAGTTATATTAAATTAAAGTAAATTAAAAATTAATTTTAAGAAGCATTATTTACATTGAACTATAAAAATTGCATTAATTTTTTAGCATCAATAAGTTTATTTTTTTTTTTATTTTTGATTATGATTATCACACGATTTATGTTCAGCTTTTATTAATTTTTTTATGTCATCATTTAAGATTATTATTAATTATTCTTAATCATTGTTTCATTGCGTTGCATAAAATGCGAAAAAATACATACCATAAATGTGAAGCACGCCATCGTGATCGGCAACGGCGAATTTTTGCGGTTGCTTCGTCGGTTCATTAGGTGGAAATATGATAGTCGTGCCACGTGAGGTAACTCCCACTGTCGTATAATCAATTCTTGACAGCGCCAACGTCATCGTGGATTCGATCAATCAATTGACCTTTAATTATCTCATCGACGAGTCCGTCGATTCAATCAGATTGCCATCGTTCATCGAATTGCCGCAAAAAAGGAAAACAAATCAACGTCTTCGTCTCGCAATTTCGAAGTCTTGGCACGAAATGACGAGTGCCGGAGCGACGACACGTCATGATCAATTTAACCATGACAACGCGCGGCATAACAAATCGCAAATTGCAATAAAAATTAGGATATCCGTCGAAAAAGACATTACGCCCTTCAGCGATTTTATTTTTATTTTGCTTATTATTATTTTTATTTTTTTTTATATATAATCCGAATTCGAATAATTATTGATTCCGTGCGCATTCGAATCGAATTTCAAATTGATTTGAATCTGAAAATTGAGAAATCTCGATATCTCGATAAGAGTTACGAGAGCGAGGCTGCCTTTTAAAAGACGGAAGTAAAAAGTGTCAAGGCGCTTGTTGACATTTAGTCATCAATAAACATTGTAACGCATTTTGAAGTCGCGCGATCTATTGTTATTCTTCAAGCATGATACTTCAGCGACCAGAGAGAGACGTTAAGTAATCGGGAATTTCTAAACTGAAACGGCAATCTGAAGAAGCATAACCTAACTATGAGCAGCAAGACTAATAATGCAGGTGAATATATCATTAATTGTCTTGATATTCAATGAAATTCGGATTAGTTTTTAAATGTTATTATTTTGTGATGTCTGTATACGTATTGGAAATATTCGCTTAGGGGAGATAGATCCCGTGCAGGAACAGCTGACTGGCCGAGTGCGGGAGGTTGGAAACTATGCGATCTGGAGTCTGTCCAGCTGCAAGCCAGGATTTGGCGTGGATCAGCTGCGCGACGATATCACGGAAACGTACTGGCAATCGGACGGGCAGCTGCCTCATTTGGTAAACATACAGTTCAAGAGGAAGACAACTATTCGTGACATATGCATCTATACAGATTATAAGCTGGATGAGAGCTACACGCCCAACAGGTAGATATGCTTTTTCTCTCAGAAAATAATATAAAAATATTAGATAAACGTAAATTGGAAGTCATCCGAAGCAGGAAGAGAAAAAAGGAATAAGAATAAATAAACGTAAATATTAAAATAAGTATTTTCATATGCTGATACAAGAAGATATTATATAATTATAATTGCCACTTTTGAATCAGTGTTTTATCAAGGATTGATTTTCCAGAATAGGAAAAAAAAGAAATATTGGACACAGTTGTTTGTTTTCTTCATCGGCATATTTAATATTCTTGTTAATATGCTCTTGAAAATAAAATCTGTTGTTAAAGATTCCTTGCTCAAATTGGAAAAACTATCAAAATTGTTATTTCTATTATTTGTCATTTATTATTTAGTTCGAAAGAAAATTATTAACATTCCGAGTGATCAATCAAAGATTATTTCCATTTGAACATTGAAGATTTGTTTAAAAAATTGAAGAAATGGCAACTGTGATCAAATGATCACTGTTTATTGTTATTAACATTCTGATCGATTTTCAGGATAAGCATCCGAGCTGGGACCAATTTCAATGATCTACAAGAAGTGGAAGTGATGGATTTAAATGAACCAAGTGGATGGATAGTGATTCCTATTAAAAACATTAATGATCGGCCCATTAGAACATTCATGATTCAAATAGCAGTCATCAGCAATCATCAGAATGGCAGAGATACTCATATGAGACAGATTAAGATCCACAGCCCTGCACAAGACATTCTTGGCCCACCAGCGCCTTACATCCCAGGACAATTTCTTACTAATGAATTTTTACGCTATGCCACTATTAGATAAGATTTGTAAATTAAATTCCTTAATACATATATACATATTATTAAATAAGATTTGTAAATTAAACGCCTTAAAATATACTTATATTTAAAATATAATTTTATTATTAAAATTAGATTCAGAACAAAACATACTTTTCTATCTTCAATCGTTTATTTTGCTCAATTTGTTTTATGTCTATTTGTTAGGAATGAAAAAAATGGTTCTTATCAAAGAATTTATATAAACGAGAAATTTTCAAGCTCTTTGTATATATATATATATATATATATATATATATATGCGTATAGTCGAGAATTATGGTGATGTTTACGTATCTGTTACGGAGTGTTTACGGACTGAAATTCGGGAATATAAGAACTATGTACAAAAAAATTGTAAACACATTGATATTATTAGATGGTAATTGACACACGGGGCAAGCTCGTATTGTGAATCAGTCGTGATCAGTGAGTTGAGAGACTACTTCTACTGAATATGGTACGGGAATTTCTTCTAATTTTCACATTAATATGTGTGACAAAATGCAAAAGTTCCTCTTCTTATTCAACGGAAAGTTTGTATACAATACTTGATCGAACAACGGAATACTTCAAAAATCTCAGTAATGGTAAAATTTTAATTATTTTCAATCTGGATATAAAAATTCTTATTCTTACTAACGAAACGTTCGATGTTTTTAGCATATGATATATTAAATGTCGACACAAATGATATTGACAACAAAATTGCGAGATATATGAACGATATGACCAAAACAATCCTTCAAAAAAACAAGCTTCAAAAGAGAAGTCTTCAGAATGAGACAGAACCCAGTAAAGGTAATCAAAGGATTTCAAACGTACATAAAAATTTTACGAGATTGAAAAAAAATTAGACAAAGTATATTTGTCATTAGTATTTCTGCTTTTATGTAATCATATCAATTTGAAAGTTTACTGAATTTTCCTTCTATTCCAAAAAGTTCTTTGAACGCATGTTGACAATCATGATCAGTTAGATATTTCAAAAGTTGACCCATATCGTTATGACGCTCGGTAGTGGGGAAGGAAACTTCTTGAAAGTCCGTAAACTTGCGCATGCTATCCACATCATTACAGTCTTTCTCTTTTTCTAATAATTTTACTAGTATCTTGTGCCAGTTCATAGTTTTAATCTGTAAAATATTCGTATGAGTGTAAGATTAAACGTTGATACATTACAATATCTTAGAATCATTGTTAATGTTTACTTTCTGCCAGCAGTACTCGCAATCATCTAGAGTTCCTTCCATGCAAATTATTCCCGGTTTCCCGGCCAAGCAAAAACCTGTGATAGAATTTTCCTTTGCCAAATTAGCCACATCCCGTCGCTTGAATTTGCTGTATATGTGGTGACTGTAAATCCAATATCTGGAGAAATCCATTGCGGTCTGATCTTCCGTGCTGGTTCTATTCGCTAATCTGTTGTGTTTAACTTGATTACACGTGGAAGCTTTGAGATAAACCTCAGCATTGTCCTGCAGCCACGATATCAGTGTGTAGATGCAAGGCTCACCCGTTTCTTGAACTTCAACGATGGCGGATAATTCCTTATTCAACAAGCATTGCTGCGTTCTGTCCAAACTAGAACCTCTAGCATATATTTCAGGTTGCTTTTTCGGATAATTAGTCGGCAGCGTCACCAGCAATTCAATATTCTCCTAGTGGCAACAAACAATGTGTTAATAACATATCATTGGTTTTAATGTAGAAATTTGGAGTTAATATTTTTTTAATCACAATTCATCACAATAATTATTAGATATCGAGATTTAGCCATGAATGAAAATTCCCGTCTTGTGTTTCTGTTTTTATTAAAATATGCAGTCTAAATGGTTATATATTATATTACACCGTTCAACGGGATTGTGATGGCGTACTCCAGCCATCGCGGTAGGTCCCGGTCAGGGCACTCGATGTACTCGTTGATGTCAGCCAAAACCCCATGGTCCGCCACGGTCAACTCGGTCGGGTAAACGGACTGCAATGCCTGCAACTCGTTCACCTGCGTCGTCAAACTCTCCGTCACCTCCTCTGGAGTAGACATGTTTCGCACGATGATACATACGACAAGGACGACGAGTTAATCACGCTGCCTTCTCGATTTTCGACGACGATCGGGTTAGCCGAACCGTGACAATAATTCAAAATATGGCGTAATCGTCCAGACGATTGAAGGTTATCAAGAGATCAGCTGATGTTGACATTGCTAGTCAACAGAAAACTCTACCGCGCAGTTGCGCTTTGAAATCGGAGCACGTCATCTTATTTTTTATTTATTTTTACCTCATTATACCTTGTTGCTATTCGCGACGTATGCGCGATGAAGATAATATAATTTAAGATTTAGGATATAATAACGATCATGATTTTTTTATTATATTTAATTGTATTTAAAATTGCAATTATAAATTACTGTAATAAGGAACTTCCTAATTAGGAATAGTTACAAGATTTTTTTGGGATTATACAAAGATGACAAAAATAATACATAAAAGCCTTAAGTATAATAATAAAGTAGAAATATTTGTAATAAAAACAGTATCTTGTAAATGAACATTCATTAATAATTTCCCAGTAAATATTTGATTAATAGTGATACATTAATATTTTAATTTCGCACTCAATAATATGAGTGTAATATACCACATATAAAACAATTGTTGAATAGAAATTATAATAGAATAGAATTAGGTTGAATTATAAATAGAAATAGAAATTGTTGAATAGGATTATAATATTGATATAATTGATGGTTATTGATATAATCTCTTGTTTTATTAATCCATTCGGATATCAAATTGAATTTTATGAATAACTTTGATGTTTGAACTTCGATTTTCACAGGCGTGAACGTGCTGCATACTTTCAACGAAATTTTATACCATCATCTACCGAACTTTCAGGATGTAGCTTTCTTTTCTATGCAAGAACATCCATCGCTCTGGTTCGCAGCTACCATGAATTACTCAGACATCTTGATTTATCAATTGATTGTACGTCGTAATCATTTTACATAATTTCTAAAAATCAATGAAAAAAATCATTTTCTCTTTTATATGATCATAATTATATATTTTAGGATGACGAAGCGTCCCTCGTCGGAACATATTCGCAACCCGATGGAAAACGGATAATCGTGCATAATTATAGCGGTGGTACGCTTATAGTCATGCAAGAGGGTATTGATGGAATCGTCGTTCTGCGTTTTGGAAGGAACAGAGACGAAGAATTTGAAATCCAGTTCAAACAGGAGTTTGAAATACCCGAAGTGACGCACATGAATATGTGGCTCGGAATGAATCGTCTGTATTTGGGGATCGCTTCGGAAACGAAAATATATATTTACGTCTGGCTCGGAGAACACTTCGACAGAATCGATACGTTGCCCTTTGGCACGAGAAAACTCCTGCCCTTCCAGAACAAAAGTTTCATGCACGTCATCATTATGGGATCACTTACAAAAATATTTCGATTTTCCGTGCGTTCTAATAAGTTCATAGAAATGCAGGGATTACATTATGCTAATGACGTCAGTTCGTTTTACTTCAAAGAAGGTCATTTCGAAGAGCACTTTTTAGTCTTAGCCGGCAATGAGTCCACAATCTTGTACAAAGAGATGTACGATCGCTTTGTGCCGTTTCAAAGAATCGCGCCGGCGAGCCATGTCCATTCTCTAATGATGGGGAATACCGTGATTCTTCTCTTGGTACAACAGGATATCGCAGAAATTTATCAATACAATGGCTGGAGATTTGTAAAATTGCCTATGAAATTATCGAACATTCATCAGATTCGTCCAATTCATTTGTACAACGAGAACGTATTAATGATACAAAATCAAGATGAAGAAACATGGACATTTTTGAGACCTATTTGGACCGTAAAGAAAACATGGAAATCTTTGCAGGACGAGACGATTGCTTGGTGTTCCGAGATCAAACAACAGATGTCTCAAAGACCTTTGGAAAAGCTTCCGGATTTCAAAAATCCAGTGATTTCAAACGCGCATATTGATCAGCTTCGTGTTCAAAACGTAAGTCTCTTGGTCTTTGTAAGTAAAATACAGAATTTTATTTTAAATCGATTAATAAAAATCCAGATTTGAATGTTGCTAGTTAAACAACCGAAGTACAGAGGAATTCATCCACTTGATGCAACGATACAAGAGTACAATCGACAAATTAAATCTGACTAAAAGCTTCTTGGCACAAGAAGAAGATGCCAAATCTAAGCAGATCTTGCGTGGCAGGAAGATCACAGTAAAGTGCAAGACGGATTGTTACGTTCATCGTATAGTCGTAAATGATGGAGTCCTTAAATCTATTAATAAAGAGAGATTCAAGAAATCGAAATCTTCTAATCAGACCATACACTTTGCTCAAATGAAAGCGAAGACAATAGATAATTGGAAATGTCCCATTCCTAATTTTAACATAGATGATATATTCGTTAAGGAATCTGTTAACGGGATATCGATACAAGACCTAAAAGAAAAACTTTAAAAGTTTCAGGAAATCAAGTAGTTACAGGTGATTTAACGCTAGCTTTGTCGATCGCATTTGATGTATCTTATATTATGTTATATTTGATATTTGAATTTTAGGTAAACACACATTTACCGATTTGCATACCAAGATAGCTTACTTGCCGTTAGATATCGCAACAATACACACTGAGGAAGAAGTGTACATGAAAGAAGTGAGAGTAAAAGAATTGTTTCTAATCAACGATGAATTCTTTTTGCCATTAAATGGTACCACGACCGTAATGAATGGTTCGATAAGTGCTGCGAAAGTGAGATTCACAGGACTTGTCAAAACAACAGGCAAGATAGAAGGAAAGGGAGTTGAAAGATTAAGGCCATTAAGAGAGATCTATGAACCTCTGACATTGTCCGGCGATCGATTTCTGCAAGACGTGACGTTCAGAAACATCGTCAAAGCTAAGGATATTGTCAGACTTCGCGGGCGATCGATGAAAGAGATCTTGAAGAATAGTATACCGCTGGATTCTGATGTACCAGCACATTTAATACTGTCCAGCGACAAAACAGTAATTATCTTGAAATCTTCATCTGCGTATACATGTATCTTGAGTTTATTTTACATTTTCATTTTCAGCAATTTAACAACGTGACTTTGTGGGACTATGTTACCACAAATTGGGTAACAAAGAATTCTCCTGAACCCATTATTATTTCTGGTGCAAAATTCACAAATAATAGCGTCGCTTTATCAAACGCTACCTATGAAAATCTTCCTATTCCAAAGTATGCAAATCTCTTTATCTTATAAAAAATATGGAATATCTACATCTATTTTTTTAAAAATATGCACTTGTTTCAGATTGACAGTTCCTCTTTGTGTCGCGGAAGTTGTCACTCCGGAAATTAGAACTTCTTCAATAACAATGGGCGATATAATTGTAAAAAATTTAAATGTCTCGCATATTCTTGGAGCTCATAATTTAAATGCAACTGTTTTCGATTCGGTATCAGCTTTGCAAAGCGTCGATTTTTCAACGAAGCGATTTATAGGCAAAGTTTTTATAAAGAATATATCAGCGTCAGTAGTTAAAGGAATAAATCTAAAAGGTAATAATAATTTGAATTGATCTAAATCTTCATGATTTCTTATTATATAATCTATGTTATGTAGATTTTGAAATTGAAATGAACAAGTGGATAGATGTAAATCGCCTCAAAGGACCGATAAATGTTAACAAGCTTGTTGTTGATAATCTCGAAACACCAGTTTATCTTAATCTGTCTTTACCTACGAGAGTAAAGAATGTAATTGTAAAAGGGGATAGTGACATCAGAAACATCAATAATATAAATATACAGTCTTTTATGGAAAATGTATTAAAAGTGGACGATCTAATATCTTTAGAACACGTAACATTCGGTAAGTTTACATCTAATATTTTTATTACATATCAATTAATTTCAAGCGAATAAGAATTTATACTGTTTAATTTTTTACAGCTCATGGATTTATATCGGATCATGTATACGCCTCTCGTTCGACATTAAAATTTCCGCATTTAGATGCATATCTCAATTTGAATTCAAAACAAATTGCTACAACTTTAAGTACGGATGAGATAAACGTTCCCCAGACTTTCGGTTACATCGCGAATGATATGCCATCGACATTTATTATACAAGGTACATAATAAGGAATACTGATTATTTCATGACACAAGGATTTTACATGATTTAACATGATATACTTTTCAGGATCAGCTACATTTTTGAAAGAACCAATTGTACAAAATATAAACAATGTGAATCTGACTGAATTATCCGAAAATGTATGGATGGCAAATCAAGATACAATTTTACTTGACAGCAACTTAAACTTTGAAAATATAACTCTGAAAGGAGATATCTATATAAATGTGAGAATAGTACTGAGAAAAAAAGATTTATTTGCTCAAGAAAGATGTGGATTATAAATTTAATTATTTTTTGGTTTTAGAATTTTAATAATTCATTGAACATAAAATTGTGGACAGATATGATGTGCAAGTTTTTAAGCAAAACGAAGAAACAATTTATTACTGTAGTTCCATCGTTTAAGAACGTCGAGGTATACAATATCAATGCAGAGAACACTTCAATTATTCAATCTTCAGATTTGGATTTGAATGAATTGCTAACAAATTCCTTAATGAAAGATATGCCACAAACTATAAATGCCTCGTGGCATTTTGAGGAATTGTACATAAGTAAGGCAGTTTTATAATAGAAAATAACACATATAATATAAATTTCTTTTAATAAAAAAAGATAAACTTATTTTTTCTTTTATTTAACTTAGATAATATGTATTGGGATGGTAAATTTAATGGTATTGACTTAAACAAGGATATCGTTAGATATGATGCGAAACAGAATATTGTTACCGGAAAAAAAATGGTATCAAATTTGATAACCAAAGATCTTTGGCCATTAAATATAAAGTTCTCAAACTTTACCAAATATGCTCTAATTCAAAAATGTCAAAAGTTGTCTATAATTAAGGGTCAAAAAACCTTTAATAATATCTCCTTGAATAATTTAAGGTAATTGATATTTGTGCCGAAATGATATTCCTTATTAAACATCGTTGAGAATTTGGTTTTTTCTTTTCTAGCGTCAAAGGTAGGATTATGGGTCGCGATGTCGAAAACGCATTACTGAAATCTGGAAATCAAACGCTGTTCAGCATCAGAGAGATACGAGGCGAGCTTAATGCACCATCTTTTACTATTGATGGCACCGTGAATGACGTGAATATAACGGCGTTAATAAACGAGCAAATGAAAAAACATAAAACGTTGCAAACGATAGAAAGTGAAATGGATTTCAGAAATGAGCTTATAATTTTCGGAAATATCACAATCGCCGGACTTTACGAAAAAACGGACTTAAGTAATATTACTGATCAAAGTGATACTGACAAGGTCTTGAATAGATTGACGAGAGTCATGGCATCGTCGGAGGACATAAAAATCGCATTGCAAAGTAAGTTATGTTCATTAGATTATTAAACGGCGTATCGATAAGTTGATTTTCGCAATATTGTTAATCTTTTTTTTATGTAGATCGTGCCATTTATGTGAACAAATTTGAAGTAGTAGACGAGAATATGTTACAAATCGCATCTAATACTTCTAACGCAGAGGAATATGAATCTGATACAAAAAATATGAATCTTAATAGCACTTGTCTTTGTGAAGCAGAAAATATTTCCTCGGTTTGTAACGATACAAAATTATTAAAGTTTCTCGCCGGTACGAATTCCAGCATATTCTTGACGAAGAAATTGTTACTGCTAGACGACATTATATTTGTGGTATTAGCGTCAACAGATTATGTCTCAGTTTATTCATATATCATTACAGAAGAAAAATTTCATCAGATAGTAGGTAAGAATTTCGCAAAGAAATATTATATTATAAGAGAATGAGAAAATCGCAATATTATGAAGTAATGTCTGATAGGATTGTACGTGCCTGATATACTTCAAGTATCTGCGGAACTGATTGACGATTTATTGTGGATCTTTTTGCGACTGTCCGAAGAAACCTTGATATTACGTTATCAATCGTGGAAAAAAGAATTCGAGCAACTCGTTTTGCCGAGTTCCGACGCGTTTGTAATCAGTAAGACGCCGAACAATCAACATTTGCTAATTCGATCTGACGGTATGTGGAATCTCGCAGGTGTTTTCCGTCCAGAGCACATTTTTAAAATATCTCTGAACGGGCAAATAGAGACGTTCGCTCTCGGCGCCGATTATTACGTTAAAGCGACAACAGAAAATAGTACGATTGTATTAAAAGCACGATATGTGGGTAATTAGAATGTATAGGTATAGTATAATCCTGTATAGGTATTTAGTATAATTCTCGCGGAGAGCTCATTTGAATCATTTGAATTCGTGAAACTTATAATAGCTATAGTTCCTTTTTTATATTTATCATTTCTATTTATAATAGATTAAAAAAAAGAAACGAGAGAAACACAAAACAAAAATTTATAGATATGTATATTATCTATGTTACTTGTTTTAAGAAAGATATATATTGAAATGCGGTGTATCAAATTATTTCTAATTTATTATCATGTGCAAGATAAAAACATGTATAAAAAGGTGAATCACAGATCAAAAAGGACCAAGATTTTTAAGTTAAACTGTTATGATCGTTGAAGCTGCTGCCTAAGAAAAAGATAAAAAAGTTTTGCCATTTAATTTTACTTTAGAATATAATTAATTGTAAGGACACATACTTTCACAACGTCTTTTAGGACCATTATTTCTTCCATTTCATTGGGTTTGAACTCGTCGATCTTTTTCGTCTCCTCGATTCTGATCCGTTTCTGAAAATCGATCACTCGTAATTTCGCGATATTACTTGCATATTTTCTTTATTATATAGAATTGATCTACAAAACGTAAGAAAACAATGTTCATTAGCAAAGTTATTTTAGTCTCGCGATTGAATACGCCATAAGATGCCTGTGTACGTCAAGCGGATGATTGGCAGCATTATATACATTATCATCACGATGTATGATAAAAACGATAATAAGAGACACTTGGATTTATAAAGAATATTTCGGAGCAACGATCGTATGAGACTTTCCATCCGTACCGGTTCCCTTCTTGCGAACTTCTCTTCATGTTTCTTGCGCTCCTCGATCGCATTATTTAGCGCGATTTGCTCCGCGGGTGTAAGCACCATAAGGCGTGGATCCATGGCGATCCAGTTGCTCTGCACGATCTGATCCAGACGCCAGCGTTTCGACAAGTCCGGCTCGAGCAGATTACTAATGAGCTTCTTCACGTGATCGGTCAAAATATTTATTACTTTGCTACGAAACTTCCATTTGCGCGCTATCTGCAACTCGTACAACTGCTTTATGTTGTCCTCGTCGAACGGCATGGCTTTATTCAGTAGTATATAGAGGATCACACCCAACGACCATATGTCGGATATCTTTGGATTGTACGGGTAACCACGGAGAATCTCTGGTGCCGCGTACGATAGCGAACCGCAATACGTATCGCTAAGGACGCGCTTGCCGCGACTGTCGATCATGTAACGGGCGAAACCAAAGTCCGCCAATTTAACGTTGTAATTCGACGTGAGAAGAATATTCTCGCATTTGAGATCACGATGCGCTATCTCCATCTCATGCAGATATTGGAGGCCTGAAAATGTGCATGACACATTACGCAAATTTGCATAGATCTGGATCGTTGATCATGAAATTTTTTTATTAAATTAATTCTACAAGATGAGAGTCACGACACCTAGAGCTAGCTGCCGGAACCACACGCGGGCTTGATTCTCCATTACCGCGCCATTCTTCAGTACGAAATCAAGAAGATCACCGTTCTCGGCAAAACGCATGAATATGAAGTACTTGCTGCGCCTCTGGAAGATACTGTGCACATGTACGACGTGCGGATGGTTCAGTTTCACGAGAATGTCCAGCTCACGCGGTAGAAATTTCCGAACAAAGTCCTTCGGTGCATTCATAGTGTCGATGATCTTGCAGGCCAGGATGCTGTTCTTCTCTGATTCATGTTCCGATTTATAGTCAGCCAAGTATACCTGCGATAAACAAGAAACTGATGCGATTTAAAATGTTCAAGAAGAATAATAAAAGTATTTAATTAAGATACAGACTTTCGCATAACAACCCTCGCCGAGCTTTCTCTGCAGCTTGTACCCTCGGGTTAGCAGTATGGCTTCCTCGGATGGTGTCTGAGTCAGGTGCGACATGAGATACGTAGAATGACAGACTGCATTCTATCCGCTGCGTTATCATAATTCGCGATTAGCCATTTTCACTTTGCCTCACATTTAAATACAGATTGCACTGTGAATTCAGACAATCCAACGGCACTGTAGAACCTCCATTCGTACACGTTTGATAAAGCAAATTGCGAAGACGTTTGCTACACTGATCTGCTTCTTTATTAACGATGATGAATCTTACACTAAAAATTTTGAAGAGTCCGCATTCTAGTTATCTAACCATTTTAACAAAGTATAAAATGACACGAATGTCAATAACCGCAGGCTGAGCATGTCCCCGTGCCTATCGAAGTAAATAATCGAAAACAATTGAACGTCGCAAGAAATAGAAAAATAAGAAAGAGAAAAGACGCTTGTATAAAACGTTGAAAATTATTGATATATTTTTACAGCTTAAAAATTTCTCAATTGATGCGAATTCAAATTGTACAACATTTTACAATTCGGAAGCATTCTCCAATCGCTTAATGACTATCTTATATTCCTCTTCCAAGAGCCGATACTCCTTTTCCAATATCTCTTTGCGTTGCTCGTCGGATGGCAGACCATTACCATTCGTATATGTGCTTTTTTCCGCAGAGTTCTTCAACGCGCGTTCTATTTTCAGTTCTTCGTTCTGTTTTCTTTTAAACGGTATATTCAGTCTTTTCTTCACGTCTATTCTATACGCCCGATATTCGTCCACATTCGCGACATTCGTCGCCTGCAATCGTAAGATTTCATACACTATGCGAGCTTGTTTCTGTGAAAAAAAAATGTTTTAACATAAGACAAAGAATCAAAAGGAAACAGCAGCGGTGATAATAAAAAATAAATAGCACGTTAATATGGAATACCTTATTTATTTTTAATTTGTTCCTAGCCTCAGTGATCATTTCATTGTCAAAACCTTGTTGTAAACGCTGTGGTGCAAAACTAGGTAATGAACTGCAATTTAAGGCGTCTACGTAGTTTCGTAATCGTTGGAACACCTCGGACGGACTTTCAACTGCAAATATACATTTATTTAGGATGCAATTATTAATGTGCAACATGCTCTTGCCGATTATTCTTTTCATACCTGTTATATCCTTAACTTCACGCCTTCCAATGTATTCGCGATAAATCGCTTGCAACAAATGTTTGCCGAGACCTATCCTTCGGAATGGCGGCAAGATTAAAAATTGAGCGATGCGTGGTCGAATGTGTTGCGGGTATGCATAGTATCGGTACACAGTAGCAAAACCAATCGTTGCATACCGAGTAGCACCCACTGATGTAGTATACTTTTCAAATCTATTTCAAGAAAAAATATTTAATAAAGATTATATTAATTAATTAATTTATATAAACAGTATAATATCAAATCATACTTACAAATTAAAATACTGCCATTGTTCGTCGTCGAGATCGATGAAAAGAGCTGCATCTATATACCAAAGAAGGAATGTTTGAATCCTTTGATGATATTCTCTAAATCCTTTATAACTCATATCTGCCTTGTAGATCACAAATTGCCTCATTGTGCCTTCATCTATGTATCAAATAAAAAAAAAGGCAACAGCATATAATCTTTACAGATCTGAATAATATTATCCTGTGCATAGAAATAAAGAAAATTATAAAGATACCATTTATTGAAAAAGAGTGTATCAATTCTCCATATGGTGTAAACGTTTCATCTTTGGCGAGTGCATTAGTAAAATTGGTTAAGCTGTAATGAACATCGGGAGCAAGTTTTGGAGCGATCTGTGTTAAAACTGGATCAGCTTGAACTCCTTCATACTTTGGATTTATTTTTTCAGTATACGTCATTCCCAAATATGTTTCCAAACAACCTGCTGAATAGAATAGTTGCACTGACAAATCCAAATAACCAAATATTATTTCCCTATAAAGAACAAAAAAACAGAATAAGGAATTTATATCTTTTTCAGTACAACAAAGTTATTAACAAAGAAAGAGTGAAGTTTAATGAATTAACAAATTTTATTTTAATTCATAACAACAAACCTATCTCCGAACACTTGATAAGTCATCTCCGGTTTGAAGACAGCCTCCTTTGAGTGCAAATCGTCGAGATCGCGGATCAATCTTAATTCCAGAACTTCATTACTGTTTGCTACTAGCCTTTTCAGGCGTGCTGTTGTTGAATCCTCCATTTTTCCAGAAGAAGAAATCAACAAGGAAGTATTACGCAGGCACTATCTGAGAATACTTTCTTCTGACTCCAGGAAGAATATGACCTTGAATACAGAAATCAACACACAGGATACAGGTTAGACTACCGCAAAGAACCATTGAATCCTTGATACAAAAAAGTAATTTCCTTACCTCGGTATGCAGGATTAAGATTAATTAGTTTCCTCCTGCATTAATTTTCGCGCCGCGCAGATGATTCAACGTAAAAACACAGTTTTGCGCAAAATGATTTTTGAATGGAGCCGTTCAGTTGCTTCCTGTTGCTTCTTGAATCACGAACGAATAATATCGAAGATCGGCACTCCGATGGATGCTGACTAATAATGGATATGCAAGGTTTGTTCCTTTCAGTTGTACTTTAGCTGAACTTTTTGCACCGTTTGTTTTTCTTTTTTTTTCCAACACGGAAAGAAAAAAGGGAAGATAACCGCGCAAAAAGCTTAGCTAAAAAGAACAGGCCTGAAATGATACTGGAAGCGGGAGCGAGGGCAGCACAAATGTTCCATTCAATAACGTGGCCCATCACATTGCCAGATGAAATTGGGATGCACATCCGGAATAAAACATGCCGCCAATTTATATATTCAATAATTATATTGTAATATAATAATTATATTATAGTATAATAATTATATTGTAGTCAACTGAAGATATATAATATTGAAAATGTTTTGTTCACTCATTTTATTAAAATATTTTTTAAAGATAATGTCAGTAAATAAATTCACTACTAATTATTCAATTAATATAATCAAAGTTTTAAAAAAATTAATTAATATATATTAATATATATTGTATATAATAAAATGTTTTTACAAAAATATATTTTGACATTAAAGAATCAAGTATTAAACAATTTTAAATAAAGTATATTTTCGGTCGAATAAAACAGCAGGAATATATAGAAAAAAATGAGATTTAAAACAAATGTATAGTCAAATATTTTGAATTATTAATTCTTTAGTATTTTGTATGGGAGATTTTTTCTTTATATGTATATATATATAACGCTACAATTAGAATGCGTTACCTGGGAAACGAAAACATCTCTCTTTATGAGTTTCCGTTTTTCGGTTCAGCTATTGAACTTCAGTAACTCAGTATCCCCATCCTTTTGATTCGCATTTAATAAATAAAATATGAATATACTCGAACTTGAGAAGACAGAATGGAGAAAAAGTAACGAAGGATGGAGAAGAGGAGACGATACATTTTAAATACAGAAGACATGATCCTTAAGGCTTCGTGAAAAACGTCTTTACTTTCTCAGACGAGATGGCCGTATCCCTGCAGTCTCGCGTTTTTTATGGCTTAAAAACAGATATCGCCGGTAATGCACATTACATCACAGACGCAGAGATTTTATATCCGGTTGGTAATACACTAGCGATTCACAATGTTCTTCAGTATCAACAAAGATTGATTCGACTCCCTGACAAGCATCATGCAAATGTCATTTGTGTCTCGCTTAACAAGTGAGTAAACTTGAAATATATCAAGAGGATACTTGTCTAATAAAAAAAAAATTAATAAAAAATTGTTCACACTTGTATGAAATGGAACGCTAGTTAAAACTTCTTTTTCACATTTAATAAAAAAAAAAAAAAAAAAATAATGAAAACTCTTGAATAGAGAAAATGGGAGCTAGCTTAGAAACTATTCTATGAATACATTTTAAGTTTTCTGTTTCTCCCATAAGATACATAGACAATACATGGTTCGCTAATTTCAGGAAATATGCCGCTTTATCTGAAGTAGGAGATAAACCTGTTATATCCGTTTACGACCTCAATACTCTGAAACGCAGGAAGCTGCTCGGAATACCTTTTGATGCTCCGGGAGTGACTCGATTTACATGTCTGGAGTTTACTTTTGATAATAAATATCTAGTGGCGATCACCGGCGAGCCCGATCAAACGATGCTCTTCTACAACTGGGAGAAAGGCAAGGTCGAGTCAACATTCAAGCTGGCTAATCCTCAAAATCCATTGGCGATCGCCGAGATGTTGGCTTGCAATCCAACGGATACAACGGTGGTGGCAGTCGGTGGACCTTATACCTTTAAGTTCCTCACATGTTCCGAAACGGTGTGGCGACCGTATGGTTTCGCCAAAGCAGAAAATCTCCTCGTCTGTTCCATGGCTTGGTTGGATAGTGATAGACTGTTGGTCGGCACCGAGGATGGCCGTGTACTCTATCTGGAAAACGGTGATCTCAAAAATATATATAGAATGTCCGATACTGTGTCGATGAATCTCAAGATCCGTGAAGAGTACGTTATGCCCACCACTGCTTCGCAGACGACGGAAGTCGGCGATGACATTACCTGGCAACAAAATGTGCGCTGCTTGATCGCGTTTCCACGTGGATTTGCATATGCACACGGTGCGGGTACTGTGGTGCTCTATGAAAAGGAAGGAAAACATAAATACACGAAGAGAAACATCTATGTGATTCCGGAGCGAGGGATGAAGGACGAGGATCCGGATCTCTATAAGATCAACACGATCAACATAAATCCCAGTTTCGATCATTTGATCATTACCGCCGGCTGGTCCCAGTTGTACCAAGCGATTCTTTGGGGCCCGGACCTGCAGATAGATCCGGAGCCACAAAAGATGAAAGTCATGGGTCAGCCGTTACATCATGGTCCCATCAGTAGCCTCGCCATGTGCGCGTGGAAACCAATCTTCATGACGTGCGGCGAGCTCGATCGTAGCATCCGATTATGGGATTTCGAGACCGAAAACCTCATCATACTGAAGCAATACAATGAGAATATATTCAGCATTGCGTTACATCCGATGGGACTGTTCTGCCTGATCGGTTTCACCGATAAGCTACGCTTCATGAGCATCCTGATTGATGATCTACTACCGATGCATGAGATCGCGATCAGGAATTGCAAGATAGTTCGCTTCAGTTACAACGGTCACCTATTCGCCGCAGTCAACGACAACGTCGTGCAGGTGTACACCACCATCGGCTTCTATAACCCCTTCATTCTCAAGGGACATACGGGCAAAGTAAAGACCCTTCTCTGGTCGCAGACAGACCTGAAGATGCTGAGTATGGGTGCGGAAGGTGCCATATACGAATGGGATATGACTAGCGGCACGCGATCCGGTGAAATTATTTTAAAGGGCCTCGACCTGCGTGACATCGCACTTTCCTCGGACGCGTCGTTTATTTACTGCATCGCGCATGATGATAATATATACGAAATCAAGGAGAATGCGGTAGATCCTGATGACTCTTCTTTTGAAACTATGCGATCGTTTTTAAAATAAGAGTTTTTGCTTGATGTCTTTTAGATATCACGAGAGTTTCGACTGTCTGGCAGAGAAATGCAGCAGATGATCATGGGAAAGATGATTTGATGCTCTTTATAACTTCCCCCGGTGGTATCATCATCTCGTTGAAAAGTCCACTTCAATCTCCGGTAGAATCGACGGACTTCCATGTACATTGTGTTGATATTACGCAGGTATTTCTTCCTCGATACATTAATTAAAATTTATTTAAAATATATATATAATATATATATATATAAATCAAATTTCCTCTTTTCTTCATCTCAGATCGGACTATCTTACAATGAAAATTGTTTAGTATCGGTTGCGAAGGATGGCAGTTTATGTATTTGGAAATTATATTCTCCCGAAGGGAAAATCATGAAGATGGGCCGAGATCTGCCGTATACGAACGAGGTATTGGTCGGTAAAGGTGACTTAGAGGAGAAGATACGCACCATCAAGAGTCTGACAGTGAGGATGAGAGAATTGGAAACTGAGCACGCGTACAAATTGCGGCAGATTGATATTCAGCACAATGACAAATTACGCGACGTGCATCATGGTTATTGCGAGGCCATCAAGGAGATGCGGGATAAAATCGAAAAGCTTCAAGAGGACCATATAAATGAGATCAACAACATAAACGTGGAAATCGTGAAGATGAAGGCGATCCACGAGGACGAGATGCAGCAGATGGAAAATAATTACGAAGTCAAGTTGATTACAGAGTATGACAAGTATCAAGCGTTCGAAGAACGCAATAACGCGATGCGGGAGAATTACGAGATGCAGTTGAAAGATCTTGAGAAACACGATGCGGAGGAATTGCAGAAAACCGTAACGAAATACGAAGCTCTGGTACACGAGAAGAAAGTACAATTGGAAGAAACGTCCGATGAGATGATGCATAAGGAGCGCGTTCACGAGCGTCTGATGGCGCAAATAGAGGACGATGCGGATCGCGAGATTCTCGAGATACGTACGAAATATGAGAATCTTTTATACGAGGAGAGGCAGATCAATCTGAAGTTGAAGGGAGAGGCTGGAGTGATGCGAAATAAATTCATGGCCAGTCAGAGGGATATAGATGATCTGAAGAGGCAGGTGCATCGAGTACAGGGCGAATACACGCAGTTTCAAAAAATATACAGGATCTGGAGAAGCAGATAGCGGATCTGAGGAAGGAGATCGGCGAAAGGAATACTATCATTCAGGACAAAGAGCAACAAATATATGATATAAAGCAGACAAATCAGGAATTGGAGAAGTTCAAGTTTGTGCTAAATCGCAAAATTGACGAGTTGAAGAGTCAGATAGAACCGAGGGATCAGGAGATACAGAAATTAAAGGATACTATTCGAAACATGGAAGAGGAGGTCGCGAACCTTCATAAGATCAATCAAAATTTGCAACTGCAGCTACGAGAAGTGCGGGAGAAATTGCATGCTGCGCGTCAAGAGATCGAGCGTGAAATTCATAAGAATGAGAGGTGCCAACAGCTATTACGAAAAATTCGTGTCGACATTTACAACGTTGCGGGACTTATACAGGAACCGAATGCTCTGAAAACAGCTGTGACCAATTTATATCACAAATATAGCGCGGACGATGTACTTCTACATAATTACAAAGCGGACATGGACACGCAACGCGAACTCATGAAGCATAAAGATTATTTGGAAAAAACTATCAAGTCTTTAAGAAAACAGTTTCTATCCGTATCTCCCAGAAATAAAGATTTGAAGAAAATGACGGAGGAAAATAGCATGCTCATCGAAGAATTGAACGCATTGAGAAAAGAATTGAAGGAAGCGCGAGAACACATTTTGCACATGGAGAGTCTCTTGGGATTAAAGAAAGACGTGCAACCCGAAGAAGCAAAAAAATTGAAGAAGAAAACGTTCCATGAATGTACGGAGATGCAGGAGAAATATACGAAGCAAATGCAAGAATATCAACAGGTTATCATAGCATTAAAAGAAGATATTAAACGACTACAAGGCAAGATTCCTTGTGAAGAAACGAAAGAGAAGATATCTTGAATTGAATTTGCGATTTAATTTTTCTTTCAAGGATTTAATTATTGTAAAAATAACATTACAACAATTATTTAATATTTCAGCGAATGTATTATATGTTGTAAACATAATTTTGGATATTTCTACC